TAGATGAAAAAAAAAAAAAATAATAAAATTTAAATGTTGTAAGGGTAGAAAAGTAATAAAAGATTCCGACTCTCAATCCATTAAGTATTAGAAAAAATTTCTAATACTAATGCAATTAACGTTGTGGACAATAATGTCCACATTGACCTGTCTCTAGAATTAGACAGTAGTTTATTTCAAATGAGCAATGGAGGGATAATACTTCCCAAGACAGCAATGAAACCCACAAAATTGTTAATAAGCTTGAAGAATCGAAAAGCAATGAAAACAAGAATTGCTTATGCCATTGAGCTCAACAATTCGAATTGGTCTGACGTATCTCCGTCAGAATAAAAATTCCTTCTGGAACCGATTTTTTTGGACTCATTAGAGGACTTAAAAGTGAATGAATAATGGGAGTTTCAATAGAAACAAACACCAAGTGGCGCAATTTAGGTAAATATCAAATTTCTTTGGAGTCATTTCTCAATAAAATTGCGCATGAGTCTGTGTTTGAAGTAATTTTTAAGGAAACATTGGTGAAGCTGTTATTCACTACAAAGAATTACTCCTCTGTGGAAGACAAAGGTGTGGGTAATAAACCCATTGAAGTAATGTAGTCAACAGAGGAGTCTGTGAAATCTTCGACTGTGGAAGAAACAAACTTGATGTCCACAGTTAAAACAGAAAAATCTTATGAAAAGACTATAATTTTGTGTAGAGACAAGGAGATAACTGAGGAACTTATTCCCTGTTAATACACATCGTCTCCACGGGAGACTGAAAAGTCACATGCCCTTTTAAAGGAAACTAGATAAACTTTGTGCCTGGAGAGAAAAGGTAACATTAGGATAAGAAGAGAGTTTGACCATCAGAACCTAAAAATCTTGTTAAATTATTTAAAATACCAAAATGAAAGGTTCAATTAAAGAATTTTTGGTTAGAAACCCCTGATAGAGAGGAAAAGAGAAAACTTTTTTGGTACCTTTACAATTTCAATAATTTTGCTTTTTATTAACTTCATTATATGGCAGGTCATATAACCCTTTATCACATTTCAGGGCACTTTGTTAAACATAACAGCAAAGCAAGTTAAATATTTCTTTCTTTTTACAGTTTTGCTGTCAGAAATGCTAAAATTTATAAGTGCTAGAATTATTGAAAAATGAAAATTTAAATGCTAGACACTAACACCAGAAAAACCTTACAAAACAGGAATCCTGTTGAAGATACAGTGACTCTCCTGCTTGTGCATTAATAATCAATGATATGAGGACGTTTCAGGAACTTTTTCAGCAATGCAGGGATGCTCCGAGTGATAGAGGGATATTTCTGAACATAAATTACTGTTATCATCAATACAGGAAAACTCCAGAGACACGGGGACATCCCAGCAATACAAGAAGATTTCAAACGATAGAGTGACATTTTCTATGATGCAGGGAAAACTCCATTGTCACAGAAAGGGTCCAAGTGATAGAATGACTGCCCAATTGTACTTGGGAACTCCCACTGTCACAGGGATGCCCCCGGGCGATAGGTCTAACTCCCAGCGATGTGGCATCAGATGGGAGGATTTTTGAGGAAAAATTTTTTATTTAATTATTTCATATCTAAAAATAGTTTGTCATTGAGAAAATTGTTGTTTATTATTTTTATAGATCCTAAATGAAAGTTTGAATAAAAATTAAAAAATTTTCGTTCATTATGCAAAAGGATAACTGTTAGGTGTTTAATAAAATGAAAATTAGTGATATTTTTGTTTTGGGTTACAGGACCCTATTTAATTTCAATTTTTTTTCTCTTTTTTTTGTGTTCAGCGGATGTAGCGTAAAGTGTGTTTTGAAAGTGGTTTGTTGTTTCTTTTTGGTGGACGTTATTAGTAGTGTGATGGGGAATTATGAAGAGAGTGAGGTTTGGTGTGATACTGATTTTGAGTGATGGGTGTTGGTTGGGTGTTTTGTGCTGATATGATGTGTTTTGGTGTTGGTAGGGAAATGTAGTAATTTATGAGTGTTGATTGTGCAGTTGTAATGGTGATATGGGGGTACTGTTTGTAGTGATGTAGTGGTGACAGGTGGTGAGGTTTATGGTGGGTGTTGATATGATGGGTGTTAATTGTGATGGGTCCTGATTTAAATAGTGTAGGTTTTGATAGGTTAAGGTAGGTTACGTAACGTCACCACAATGCCGATTGAAACACTTCACTCTTTCTTTGTGGGTAAGTAAGTAATTCATGCTCATCATTATGATGCAAAAACAATTGTAATA